GTGCCGCGCGGGGCTCACCCCTGCCCGCTCTCCCTGCAGACGAGCTGACCTGCAGCGCCCGGCTGACGGTGCAGCCCTCCGTGCAGCCGCTCTTCACCCGCAAGCTGGAGGACGTGGACGTGGTGGAAGGGCGGACGGCGCGTTTCGACTGCATGATCAGTGGGACTCCCCCCCCGGCAGTCACCTGGACCCATTTTGGTAACCCCCAAGCCCAGAGAGCTTGCCTAGGGCCCTGCAGGGAGATCTGTCCCCTTTCCCTTGGGGGCTGCACCCGAGGGCTCGTGCCCGGCTGGGGGGGGAGGGATGCTGATGCTGACGCTGCTGTGTGTCTCCACGCAGGCCAGCCGGTGCAGGAGGGGGAGAACATGCGGATTCAGTGGGACAGGGGGCTGCACTCACTGGTCATCGTGCATGTGGGCACCGAGGATGAGGGGCAGTACACGGTGACTGCCCGGAATCCCCATGGCCATGTGGAATGCTCTGCCGAGCTCTACGTGGAGGAGCCGCGGCCGTCTGCTGCCTCCCAAATGTAAGAGTTGGGGGTCTCCGGGATCTGCCTCCCCCCTGCTTGCTCCCCCCTGGGTATGTGGGGGTCTACGTGCTTGTGCGAAGCCTGGGGTGGGGGCTGGGCTGGGGGCACCATGCTCCCGCCGCGAGTGTGTGCGGGCTTTTGCAGCTCCAAGCTGGAGAAGATGCCATCCATCCCGGAGGAGCCGGAGCAGGCGGAGACGGAGACAGAGTGCTTCACCATGCCCGATTTCCTGAAGCCGCTGCACAACCTGGATGTGGTGGAGTCGAAGGAGGCCGTGCTGGAGTGCCAGGTGGCTGGGCTGCCCTACCCCTCCATCACCTGGTTCCACAACGGCTCCCGCATCGACAGCACCGACGACCGCAAGATGATGCAGTGTAGGGCTCCCCGCTGCCCTCCTCACCCTCCTGGGCTCCCTCTGCCCAGGGCAGAGGAAGGGGGGGGACGCCCCAGGAGGAGGCATCACCCCCCAGACCTTCACGCCCCATGAGGCAGCGAGGGAGCTCTGCGCCACTTGGCTGGCGGGGTCTTACCCGTGTCCCCCTGTCCCCGCCCAGATAAGGATGTCCATCGCCTGGTGTTCACGGCTGTCAGCCACGCGCATGCTGGCGTCTATAAAAGCGTCATCGCCAACAAAGTGGGCAAGGCCACGTGCTACGCGCACCTCTACGTCACCGGTAAGGAGCAGCGGGGATGCGCGGCCGCTTGCTGCCACCCTGCCAGGCTGTGCCCCAGGGCTGAGGGTCGGTGGCCCTGTAGCAAGGTCCTAGAGTGGTAGGATCACAGGGCAGTTCAGGTTGGAGGGGACCTCAGCAGGTCTGACCGAAAAGCTGGGTGAGCTGTGCAGTCCTTACCTTGCGGGGTCAGGGCCCATCCTGGACCCCCAGGTCCCATGTGGGACTTGCCGGCAGCGCCAGCCCCACGGGGGCTGCCAGGCTGAGACCCCCGGGGGAACCAGTGAGGGTCGCTGGCCCGATCCGTCCCCTCCCGCCCGCCTCTCCCCGGG